GCGCCTGAGCGGTAGGCCGTCCCGTTACACAGAGGTGCCATCGGGGTGCCTATATACTCAGACCTTGCGCGCCTGGCGGGTAGGCCGTCCCGTTACACAGAGGTGCCGTCGGGTTGCCTATATACACAGACCCTGCTCGCCTAGGCGGTAGGCCGTCCCGTTACACAGAGGTGCCGTCGGGTTGCCTATATACTAAGACCTTCCGCGCCCGGCGCGTAGGCCGCGGCTGCCCCGTTACAAAAACGTGCAGTCGGGTCGCCGTTAGCTTACTCATATACTGCCTCAGCGTCAAGCTAGCACGCCACCGACCAGCACTTACTATCCAGTTTGGCGGGTATGTCGTCGATGCGACATTGTTTTGTGTACGAGTCCTCGATGGTGGGATCGTAGTCCGTGACAAAGTAGCTCTGCAACAAAGTAAACGAAGGATTAGAGTTTGATAGCAAGCTGATGAACAGTCACGAAAGGGTGCTACGATGCGAGGGAATTCCGCACTCGATTTATTGTTGTTCATTGCTCACAGCTTTGTCTCATTCAAACTGCCCCTCCTGTGGGGAACTTCCTCTCGTCATGCGTCCACCAGTGTTTGCGGATACTCTTAGCAGGCATAGCGGGAGGAAGGCGGGGGGGGGGGGGCACGCAGGAGAAAGACGACGCATGCCTGTCCGCCCATCATCCGGCGCGTCCTGGCCAGGCGGCGTCCGCAGGTAGGCTACGAGCACTCAGGCTGCGGACGGACGCCCACCCCTTTGCTTCAGAACGAGCCTTGTGCGCCGCGCCCCGCCACCGCCCCGCCGGCCTCTGTGACGCCCACGCGCCCCGGGCTGGGCCGGGCTGGCGCTGGCGCGGCCGCGGCGGCGGACGGCAGCAGCGGCAAGTCGGAGGCGGGCCGGGCAGGCGCGCTATTGGGGCCAGGGGGCTGCGTGCGAACGGGAAGGACCCTCAGAGGGAGCACACACGGCAGCGGCAGGGGGGAGCGAGAGAGGGAGAGGTCCGCCAAGTCTCGTGTCGAACGCCCCCCGCGAGGACCACAAGGCAGCAGGGAAAACGAACCGAACGGAACGCATAGATCGGATTGGATCGCGAGAGGCGGGGCGGGGCGGGGCTTTGAGACGCTCGCGACTCGCACGAAATTCAGGCGGCGGCGATGCACCAAGGCTACTGCCGCTTGCCCAGCCTCGCGTGGGGCGTCCTAATAGGGGATTGCTGATGAGATTTCCTTACCCCGCGGCAGCCAATCAGAACGGCTCTCTATTCGATCGGGGAGGGGGAGGGGGATCGTGTCTCTGCCTGAACTACAGCTGATTGATGTTTGCACACATGTCAGTCAAACGAGATCCCAGGACCACTTTAAAACAACCACAGTAAAAATGTTTGCAGCATATCTGGCTTCGAATTATACTGACTGTTTTAGCAGTCATTATATTATTGATGGGTCAGGGGCATGCCAAATTATAGAAGACGATCTATATTGAGCCTCTTGAGGTGCAAGCCAAAAGGACAGCTGTGGCTTGAAGATGAAGGAGGTCTTCAAGGCCACCCTAACAAGCAGGACAGAGGAGGTAGGATGCAAGACACCTAGGTGTGCTTTCATTGTAAGGAGAATGGATGAATGTATTATACTAACTGTCATGAAACTTTACAAACACCACACATGACATTCATCAGAAACTTGTACACTCTCAGTAAATTAGTCTGTTGACAACAGAAGTCAGTACAAATATAGGCTCATACTTGGAGCAGACAGAAAAATGTATTAAATGTCAAACTGAAAGAAATATGCTAATTTAAAGCAAAGCAACAAGTTTGAAGATTTCTCTAAGCTATTCTCCCCCCTGTAAGTCAACAACAAGCTAAATAAAATGTTCAGATAGCTGGTCAAGCTCATGCTCCCAACCAAATTCCGAAAAATGTATCTTTTTTGCTCCTCCCTATGTGTGCTCAGCAGTAGAGTTCCCACTGCTTGATGTCCTGTCACTCCCACTAGGTTAGGGCCACCAGTTGGTTCTTCTCTCTGACACCATGAGTTCGAGGTCTACGATTCCCTGCCCTTTTTTTCATGCCCTGCAGCAGACTCTACAACCCCCCATGTTGGGAGTCTCCGTGGCGAGGCCCAGGAGCGTCGAGTGCGCGCACCTGTCAGCGGGGGCCAGGACCCTGGGCCTTGGGCCACCAGGCGGGCGGGGTGCAGCGCAGCCAGGGCGAGGCTCTTACCTGGATGAACTGGATTGTTATCGCGGACTTGCCGACGCCTCCTCCCCCGACCACCACCAGCTTGTACGTCGGGTAGCCTCCCCTGTCGTTCGGACGTGACATGGTGCACGGACACTTGACACACACACGGGGAGAGAATAAAGTAAACGACAACACACAATCACATCACCGCGAGCAGATTCAACACACACAAGTCGGGGAGGGCGAACCGAGCTAGCCGCCGCCTTCTGCCAAGACCAAGGACGTGCCGCCGCGCCGCTGCCAACAGCGCCTGGCCGCCGACTGGCGCGCCCCCCGCGGCGCTCGCGCGCACTACTCTTACGCCCCTCCTGTGAGCGCGCCGCGCGCCTCGCGGGTTTGAAACGGAGCGCGGAACAGGACGGGCGCGGAAGCCCATTGGAGAGACCTGCCTCCAGCCGTAGAAGAGCTCCTTCCTCATTTGTCCCGATCTGCCCTGTCGCGGTGTGTCGAGGCGCGGAGCTCGGGTCGGGGGGTCACCACTGCCTCGGTCACCGACACATTCGGGGGTGAGGTGCACACTGCAGTGTGTGTGGTGTTGTGTACCCTTGGCCCTCGCCTTGGTCACGCACCTCGCGCGCGCTGTACTTTGGAACAAATAGAACGCAACAGCTGCAGCAGCGGGGAGCCAGCCCGCGAGCCGACGTACCGCCCCGTCTGCACGCCAAGTTCATGACTCTCGGTCTCGACTGTCGAGACAGTCGTCGTCGCGCAAAGTTCACTGAGCCCTTCCCTCTTCCAAGAGCTTGACATTTGCGACCACGCGCCTGCGGATATATGTTAGTGCGCGCGCGCGCGTATGTGTGAGGCGTGTGCGTGTGCTGAAAGGCTTCGGCCCCGCGTGGCGTGCCCCTAGGGGCGCGCGCTTCGCGAGGCTCAGAGGGTGGCTGACGGGCTGGCGGGGACCCGGGCGGCCGCGAGAAGTGTCCCGCGAGCCGAGCGGCGTGACACTTATGTCACCTCAAGGCCGGGTCGCGTTTTGTGTGACGCGACGCCGTAACGCGGTACGGTAACGCTCCGCCCTCAGTGACGAGCGACGTCGCCTAGCCCGGCCGCGAAGGGGCGAGGGGGGAGGGACGCGGGCGCGGGGGTCTCGGGGGCAGAACCGAGAATAGCCCGCGAGAGTGCAGGCAGCAGGGCAGAG